AGGCTGGTTTTCCTGCTGTGCAGGCTGGGGTTGCAGAGGTCTGTTGGCCTCTTGGTGCTAAGGTACCTGCGGCGCAGGCTGGTTGTCCTGTTGTGCAGGCGGGAGTTGAAGGAGGCTGTTGGACTCCTTTTGCTGGGATGCCTGGGGCGCAGGCTGGTTGTGCTGTTGTTTAGGCTGGAGTTGCAGGAGACAATTGATCTCTTGTTGCTGGGGTGCCTGTTTCGCTTACAGGCTGTCCTGCTATGCAGGCTGAAGGTGAGGGAGGCGGTTGCCTCCAGTCGCTGAGATGCCTGCAGCGCAGACTGGTTAGCCTGCTGTGCAGGCTGGTGGTGCAGAAGGCATGGGCCTCCTGTCGCTGGGCTGCCCGCATCGCAGGCTGGTACCTGCGGTGCAGACTGGTGAAGAAGGAGGCTGGACGCCTCCTGTTGCTTGGACGCCTGCAGGGCAGGCTGGTTGGCCTGCTGCGCAGGCTGGTGGTGCAGAAGGCATGGGCCTCCTGTCGCTGGGCTGCCCGCATCGCAGGCTGGTACCTGCGGTGCAGACTGGTAAAGGAGGCTGGACGCCTCCTGTTGTTTGGACGCCTGCAGGGCAGGCTGGTTGGCCTGCTGGGCAGGCTGGTTGGCCCGCTGGGCAGGCTGGATGGCCTGCTGCGCAGGCTGGTGGTGCAGAAGGCATGGGCCTCCTGTCGCTGGGCTGCCCGCATCGCAGGCTGGTGCCTGCGGTGCAGACTGGTAAAGGAGGCTGGACGCCTCCTGTTGTTTGGACGCCTGCAGGGCAGGCTGGTTGGCCTGCTGGGCAGGCTGGTTGGCCTGCTGGGCAGGCTGGTTGGCCTGCTGGGCAGGCTGGTTGGCCTGCTGGGCAGGCTGGTTGGCTAGCTGCGCAGGCTGGTGGTGCAGAAGGCATGGGCCTCCTGTCGCTTGGCTGACCACATCGCAGGCTGGTGCCTGCGGTTCAGACTCGTGAAGAAAGAGGCTGGACGCCTCCTGTTGCTTGGACGCCTGCAGGGCAGGCTGGTTTGCCTGCAGGGCAGGCTGGTTTGCCTGCAGGGCAGGCTGGTTTGCCTGCAGGGCAGGCTGGTGGTACGAGGAGCCAGGGCCCCCTGTTGCTGGGTTGCCTGGGAGCCAGGCTGGCGGGGGAGGAGGCAGGGAGCAGGCTGGTGGTGCAGCTAGTCGGCCTCCTTCCGTTGGGTTGTCCGGCGTCCGGAATTGTGTCGAGGCAGGCAAGGGGCCTCCTTCTGCATGGTTGCCTTCGGCGCAGGCTGGTAGTGCAGGGGGTTGTAGGCCTCCTGTTGCTGGGATGCAGGTTGTTGGTCCAGGAGGCGGGATGCCTTGTGGCGGTGGGGTGCCCTCAGAGTGTTCTGAGGTCGCTGTGCTGGGGGAAGATGGTTCCCGTGGTCGTGCCATGCGAGGGGGATTTCTGAGTCTGCGGAGCCATCCTCGCGGTCGACAGAGTCCTCCTGTTGCTGGGTAGCCTGTATAGCCGGCTGGTGAGGGAGGAGGCGAGGGGCCTCCT